CTATCGACTTTTAAAAATTGAATAGAAGGTAGATTCCCTCTACGGGTTCAAATGGAAGTGCTTCCTAAATGCCTACAAATGCTACCATCAGATACTCATGAGCGGAGAAGATGAAGAGAAAACTATCTTCTACATAGATTATCGCACGTTCTGCTATACAAATATTTCATTCAGTCTAAAAAATGTGGGGGAAATTTACAAAAGACCAGTAGACTCCATTTTCTCAAAAAATATGACACACAATGTGGAAGTATACATAGATGACATGGTCATCAAGAGTCCCGACGAAGCAACATTTCTCAAAGACATCGAGGAAACTTTCAAAACCTTGGAGATGGTTCAGATGAAGGTAAACCCAAGAAAGTGCACCTTTGGAGTGGAAGAAAGGCAGTTCTTGAGATATTATGTTATGAGAGAATGCATTCTACCAAGCCCAACCAAGGTGGAAGAGCTGCTAGAGATGAGGTCACCACACACTCTAAGGGACATGCAAGGACTGAATGGAAAACTGACCGAGCCAATCCGCTTCATATCCAAGTCAACAGAGAAGGTCATACCACTCTTCCAGATGCTTAGTGGATGCATAGAGAAGAACAACTTCCACTGGATGGCAAAGGAAAAAGTTGTGTAAAAATAACTAAAGGAAGCCTTACACAGGATCCCTACCAGGAGAGACCCTTCCGGTATATCTATATGCATCCGATGAAGCCATATCCTCAATCCTGGCAGTAAAAATAGAGGGCATGTAGCTCCTAATCTACTTCATCAGTCGGGATCTACAGGGTCCGAATATCAATTACCCTATCCTGGAAAAGCTAGTACCAACACTCGTCTAGGAGGACCAAGGCTTAAGACGCTACTTCCAGACATACTAGATAGAAGTTATAACGAGTTGTTCTATTAAGCATATCCTCCTCAAAACATAACAACTGGGACGGCTAGCCAAGTGGGCAATAGAATTAGGGGAACACAACATCAACTACCACCCCATATGAGAATCAAAGGACAAGACTTGATATATTTCTTGCTAGAAATAACGAGAGACCCAAAAACACAAGCCCAAGCCAAATCTTGGATGGAAAAATGGTAGAAGGTCGGGATGGGACACAAGTATGGATGCTATACATCAAGGGAACATCAAGAAAAGAAGGATCAGGAGCAAGCCTAATACTGAAAAGCCTAGACGGAGAACAAGTCATCTATGCACTCCACTTTAACTTCAACACATTAAAAACCGAAGCTAAGTGAAAAGACCTACTAGCCAGTCTAAGGCTAGCATCAGGGGTGAAACACGGACATTAGAACTAGGGGGCCGAATTCAACTTTCAAAGCAAAACTATATAAAAAGTAAACAATGTCGTTAATGATAATAAAAGAAAAATTATAACCTTAACGAGAAGTAGTGACTAATACCACCATAGCAAACATTAACAATAGAAAGTAAGATCACCATTTCTGTTTAATACAAGCCTATTACTTTAGTAAGAGCTTGCTCCTATTCTTTGGTAGATCATCATAGTAACGTTTGTGTATAGTATTACAAAGGACTAACAAGTGACCATAAGAGATTGAGCATAGACAACCAGAAGAAAAACATATAAGTAGACAGTGCAAAAGTAACAAACATAACTGTGTGTGAGAATATTGAAGCATCCAAACAATTTATTTTCGACTTTCAAGATATCCATATGTGAAAGAAAGCATGCAGAAAGAGCATATGATGGAACACATTTAACCAGACACAATTATTAAATTGAATTATATTTATGAAGTTCATTATTCATCTAGTAACTAATAACACACATCTATGAGGATAAGACACCCCAGTTAACAAAAAATAGATAAATTCCTATAACACATCATCTACCGACTAAATTCTTGAAACCCCTTTTCCATTATTTTGGAAACTTAAAGGATTTTAATCCTTAAATCATATATTAAACTAATAAAAATAATGATGAACAACCAATATGAAACATATTCAATAAAGTAAACGGAACAAAAAGTATAATGTACAATTGCCTCAAAAGATCAAATAGTTGTCATTATTACTGATTGATAAATTTGATTATTGAATCTCAAAATACTCATTCATGTTCATATTCAAATCAAAATATTATGAGTACGAAATGTAATTTCAAATTCAAAATCGATGTTAACAATGTAAATGCAAATAAATTTGTAGCAAAATTGGGTTGCAAAAACCTAAAGAATGTACAAGAAAATGACGTTCTGGAAAATAAAAGAATTAAAGATGAGAATGAGTAGGAAGCATACTAATTAATTAGGGTAGATTGCCATAAAACAGAGCGATTTAGAAGAATCGTCAGAGCAGAGAGGGGTTGAGTATGAATGACGACATGAATGTTTTGCAAATATCCTCTGAAGGTCCTTGGTCTCGCCAATCCTCACATATAGGAGCCTAAACAACGGGGAGGCCATATCCTCATTGGCCCTAAGAGATCCACTCATGCGTCCATAATCCTTGAGTATTCATACCTGGAAGGCTAAAAAACAGAGGGACCATGGCCCCCTCTGGCCCCTTAAAACATCTTCCTCTGGCTGACATACAAGATATGGGTAGAAAGGGTAACTCATGTGACATACTCAATGTTGGCAGCAAATCAGATCAATGGGGAGTTCTAAACAAAAGATAAATGAATGGAGAGATGTGTAAAGGCAGTCAATAGATTAACACGATCCTTTAAGAGTTTTTCCATAAAAAATACCACGAGGAAGCAACAAAAGGGCGAACGCCCTCAACAAGCTGACATCAACATGTTTCGACCACCTGTACAAATTTTTTTAGTAGAAGTACTAAAGGAAATGAGCATTGACGAGTGCCAGGTAAACACACTCTTGTTCGAATAGACAAAATGGATGATGCCTTTCTTAGACTACCTCCAACACAGAGTCCTCTCATAAAACTAAGTGGATGCCTAGAAGATAAGAGTGAAAGCCCCGAATATGCAATCCCCAAAGGAATGCTCTACAAGAAGGGATTCACGACACCATGGTTAAAATGTGTCAACAGTGCCACAGACCAAGCAACACTCAAGGACATCCATGTGGGGCCAGCGGGCGCCCACGAAGGAATGTAAGAACTCACATGAAATGTCCTTCGGATGAGAATTTACTGGACAGATGCCCATAAAGATACAGTAACACTAAAAGGAGCGTGTGTAGAGTGCCAAACCTTCTCTCCAGTGCATAGCCTCCCTGTCGTGCTTCTGGAAAGCATCACAAGCCTATGACCCTTTTATCAAAGAAGAATACATAGTAGGGCTGTTACCAGAGGCCCATAGAAAGGTGAAATTAATGGTAGTCATAGTAGACTACTTCACCAAATATATCGAAGTAGAAACCCTGGCTTGCATTTCGAGGAGACAAATCATCAAATTTCTATGAAAGAATATCCTAACAAGGTTTAGAACACCAAAAGTCCTAATAAGTGACAACAGATTACAATTCATCGAGAACCTATTCAGAAGTTGGTGTGCCGAGAAGTACACAGAACAAAGGTTCACATCGGTGGCACGCCCCCAAGTAAATGGACAGAAGAAAGTATCTAATAGGATGTTGGTCAACATAATCAAAAAGTGACTAGGAAATGCTAAAGGCAACCAGGTTGAAGAGCTACCCAATGTGATCTGGTCATATAGAACTACCCTAAGAATAAGCACCCAGGAAACCCCTTTAGCCTAACTTACGGAATGGAGGTGGTGCTGCCCACATAATTAATGTTTGGATCAATACGAATGATCAACTTCCAAGAAGACTAAACGGGGGAAGATCTAGACCTTATCAAGGAAAGACACAAGTGATCCAACATCTATCAGGAGGCCTATAAAAATTCCATCAAAATTACTACAACAAGTAAGTAAAGGAGAAGGCATTCAAAGTCAGAGACTTCGTGCTAAGGAAGAACGAAGTAAGTCACGTCATGACTTGAGGAAAATTGGGACCAACCTGGGAGGGACCATACAAAACTGTTGAAGCCCATCGGAATGGGTAATACATGCTAGAAACCCTGAGGGGACAACCCATACCCAGGACATGGAATGCAAGGAGCCTTAAACGATTATTCTTCTAAAAGAATGAAGCTCAACAAGAAGAATGAAGAATTGAGTACCGTATTAGGCACAATAACGGTTAGGATATCATGCAACCCCTATTAAAGAGCGATGAATTTATATACTCTTTCATATCTTGTTTACTTATTTTTCGGATGGGTTTATCACCCAGTTTAATGGTTAATTTGAATACATTTACTTTCCAATGTTGATGATTATAATAAGAATCCACACCCACCCTTCATCCAACAAAAAAGGGGGGAGGGGGAAAAATAATAGAAAGGATCATAACCTTAGACTTGAAGTTGCTTGGCGTCTCCGAATAACTTTCACGCGCCGAACAACAAGCCCTAAACACATAAGATTAGAGATTCCAATCTCAACTTTGAAGTTTCTTGGCGTCTCCACTCAACTCTCACGTGTCGGCCAACAATCCCATAACATGAAAGCTCAGAAATCTCAATCTTAGCTTCGAAGCTAATTGGCATCATATCCCAACTCCCACTAGTAGGCCAATAGACCCAAATCACAAAGGCTCGACGATCTCCAACTCAAATTGACTAGAATTCTGGTAAATTCCTACAGAGGAAGCCAACAAGACCAGATTCCCAAGGACGGAGAGACCCCAATATCAACCTTAGGAATAACCATAAACTTTTCCACAACCGCAACATACAAAGATCAAATCCAAATAACATAATAAAAAATTAGGCAAAAGTGGAAGAGTTAAAGGCAAATACAAACATGCCAAGATGCAAAGTAACACAAACTACCCCAATATATAGTGGGGAATTATTAGGAAATTATCTTAAAGATAGGCCAAACGGACATTAACAACCATATACCATTCAGAGCTATCATCCAAATGTAAAAAATACATAAGTTTTTCTTTTCATCCCCAAGGGCATTATAATAGGACATGAAACTTCAACCAGCCTGAACATTGCTAGGCCTAACACCATCAGAACCTTGGCCTCCTCCTGAGAAAGCTCCACCACCAGTTCCATCATCACTCGAATCTCCATAGGCACCACCACCAACAGGTGCATCAACAACATCCTCATCATCAAAAACACACAATTGCCTTAGACATGCAAAGTCAAGACGACCAAGACCAAGAATCGATGCATAATACAACGTCGTGAAATCCATAATGTTATGGTACTTGTCGGTAGTATGTATGGAATGACAATCACTCACTTTAGGGTCATACATCCATGTGACAATTTATGCTTTTAGGCCCGCATGACCAGATTCCTCTCTGATAACGAAATAAGCATGGTGAATTTGGTGGAAGTTGCTAACAAACTCAGGGTGTTCAATTAGTTTGTCCGTAATGTGAACACCACCAACACATAGTCGCCAGTAAAAATCTTCACCCATCTGTGCCAACCCCTATCTAGCCTCCTCTATAAGCTTATTTTGATCATTGACATCTCGGTCCAGGCTCTCATTCTAAATCATCAAGCTTCCATTGGCTTGAGTAAGGGTGTCCACTTTGTTATCCAACACAGCCCTCATCTCCTCAAGAGACATTTTCTTAACCATTAAGAACTTGTACTTCTGTTCAAACTCACAAGTCTTTCCCACGAGCATAGCAACCTAACGCTTCAACTTCAATTCACTTGCCACCAAAGAAGCACACCTCTACTCAAGGTCACTCATTCAATGAATGTGTTGATGGGTTTTGAGCACTACAAGATTCCTATGGTATACATGAAACCCTTATGCTTTGGATCTAAGTTTTTCTCAAGTTATACATGCAAATAATCATCCAAAGCATAAACCTTATGACTAGCTGACTAGCATACACAATTTTGAAATTGATAACTAAAACCAAGTTAGATGAATACCTTTTCCTCGTAGCTAGTTGATCTTGAACTTCAAGAGCTTAGTGCCTCAATTGTTGCACCTCTAATGAGTCACAAACACCAAGTAGCAATGGATAATTATGAATGAGAGGTTAGAGAAGCTCAAAATCAGCTAGGGTTCTCTATGAATGCATAGGTGCCGATTTTGGAGCCATGGGGTTCCTTTTATAGTTGAGGCTTCTAGGATTTTCAACTTGGAAACCCTAATTCCATTGCTTAGGCCCTAAGCAACACATGGATCCCTTACGTAAGCCTACATATGAAATATATATGGACTTTCATATAGTTTTTGTCCACCCTATACCAATAGGGTCCATTAGCCCAAACTACAACTATTACTGATTTACATAATCAATCCCCGTTGATTTAATCAGTCTCTTTTGATCACTAAATTAATTCCAAATTAACTTCTGATCAATACTAATTAAATAATATGATTTCACAATTAATATACTATTCTTATAATATATTAATAAATCACAATTAACCTATTTCTCCATAATTTATCCTATTAAATTGCTATGGTGAAGGCAACCCAAAAGGACTATGCTACTATCGGGTCAAGTACATACCAATTATAGTTATGAGCTTAGACACCTAATCCAACAGTCTCCCACTTGGATAAGTCTAATAACTATAACTGCAAGTAGGACTTCAAAATCCGATTAGCAATTGTAGCTCTCAAAAGCCATTGTCGAACTATGATCTTATCAGTAACGCGTCCTTTAGATAAGGGATCAAATATTCCTCAATTGTACAAGATATCATATGGACATGAGATATGTATTTATAATCATTCTCTCTGTCCATGTGTTGTTTCCCGATTTCTGATTTATGACGACCGATAACAGACTACAATTGAACACGTCAACTTAGTCCAGGCTTGGCCAAGCACTTAGAGTGTCATCACTAAATTATCGAGGGGCCCATAAATATTGCTTTTTATCCCACTTTGGGTAAAAGGAACATATAAACTTTTACCCATATGCTTGTACTATTTACTCATCAAATCATACACAACAATACGTTTTATAACATCAAGTTACTGATGCGTTTACGTATTATCAATGCACAACCGACTCGTAAACAACAACTCATGTGTTTCCATTTCAAAAATATAAGATATTATCATCTCACAATCACTCGTGATAAAATCCATGAAGTGATTCAAATACACGTGGGTTTAATCCAATACTCAAATTCCTATTTCATAATACCCTTGAACAATGAATCAAACATTTGCTATGTCTAAACGCTTAGACAATCTACAGTCGGATTCATGACAGTCTTGCCTCATTACTTACTTCTAAAGTATGATCGACGGTGTATGTTTGAATAATCTTATTACCCGGGAAGTAAAACATGCGAGTGAAACACAAGAATAAAACAATCAAATATGGTCTCAGAACTTTTGAATATAAATAAAACACTTATTATTTAATCACTATATTGATTAGAATTTATTCATTGTATAATGTTTCGAACAATCAACTTAATACTTGAATGAAAACAACAGTCATCTCATCCTCCAAGCATGCATACTATGTTCATCTATGGTCATTTTTTTGTGAAATAGATCAATTGAACACATTTCCAATGATGCACATTTCACAATTTTCTAATCCTTATAAGTGTAAGAATACTAAATTCTTGCCACTAATAGAATCTGTTAGAGTCTTAACTTTCAAGCAATGTTCCTTTTGTAATGTCGAGGCACCAAAGTCATAGAGACTTGGACAAAAATATTACAAAACATTCCATTGAGATTGTTACAAGACAATTCCACGAAAATTAAGTCTCTCGTTCAAAGAACATTCCTTGAACATCCTTCTTGCATTAGATTTTCTAACTTACACAGAGATTCTTAATTTCAAACTCCTATTATGGAAACATTTCCGTAATTGCCATATGACTATCCATTCTAAATAGAATCTTATCTATTCAGAATTATATCATTATGGTCCATCCATTACTATACTCCCAACTGCCCACAAGAAACCAATCTTCGGTAAACCTCAGATTGTCCTTGATAGTTGTTTAATATCTTTAGTAATATCCGGTTCTGGTCCCTTTTCCCTCTTAATGTGCTAGGCATTTGGAAAAATCAGAATAGACGAATATTATAGCATATGCAATCGATCCTATACATGAAGCATATGGGATACGATTCATAACGTCTTACATAAAGACATGATACTTGACCAGTCTTTTGCTAAAATATTCCCATATACAGAATTTCCTATGTTGAAATATTTCAGCATGATATTCATATATGTACATGACTAAGTTTGATTAAAATTTCAATCTAAGATTTTAGATTTGAAATGAAGTATAAATGTCCTCTCCCTTAAACCTTACTGCAACGAAACAATTTCCAAATTCTGCAACTTTGCAAACTGAAAACTCTGTTTCCTATACATAACATTGCTTACTTGCAACACTTAACATAATAATCATGCTCCCACTAGCGTAACAATTATGTTCTTACGAGCATAGCAATTATGTTCCCACTAACTTTGACATGTACTCAGAAATCAGGTGGAGTTCTAGAAATCAATACCTATTGACTTTCTTACCAAAGTTCATATTTTTGATACATGATGATTTGATGAGTCTTTACCTATACTTATCAACCTCATACACCTTCGATTAAATAGCTTATATGTATGTCTAAACCTTTTCAGAACTTATAGCAATTAGTCCCGAATGTTCAAACTAATTGTCATTTCTCACAAATTGAACTATGAAAAGGGATGTCGTAATCATACTCGAATTTGAGAATGAAATTATCACAACTGCTTACTATAATCCTTTAAAATCTACTCGTGAAAGTGTTTCCTCACAATCATTTTCATGAAGTAAATAGAAACCTCTTACCACTTAGATTTTATGGTGTATGTGTTCCTATCCATGTGAATTTGTCATTTCTACCCACTATCATAAAGACAAAGTTTATGAAAAATTCAAACTCATGTGGACTAAACTTTCTTAATCTCAATTTCTTTCCATATGGGCAACACAAGGGTCTACCATCGTTTCCAAGTTATTGATCAGCTCACCTACACTGATCAATGCAATTTCACTGATCAAGGTGCTTTTCCTTATGCAATCAAATGAGAACTTATAGAACTCACATTCATAGTCAACCTAACTGGAAGGGGATAGAAACAAGATTATGTCAACATGATAGGTTATCAACCTCAAGTCGTGTCCTAGTGATTAACAATAGGTTTATTCTTGACTAGTTCTTGAAACTATTCAAGTCCATTTAAGACTCTCACTAACCTATTGACATATAAGATTATCTGTCAAGCAACATTCCTTGACAAACAAATATTCAAGAGTTGGTGTGGATTCTTATCAAGATAACACTTCACATAATTGGTCTTAGCTGGTCTTTGTTTTATCCAAAACGTCATAATTACCAATTTCAAATGTGCAAGAGTAAGAAAAACACTTCTACTCCATATTTCATGATGTGTTTTAAACCTTCTTAGAACATACTCCCTTCGTCCCAAAATTATTGTCCACAGACAAAAAACACACATATTAAGGAAATATTAATTACCATTAACTTTATTAAATGAAATGACAATTATACCATTTGTTGCATTTAATTCGATGATAGTTGCATTTAATTCTATGATAGTTGCATTTAATTACATAGTAGTTTAACTAATAATGAAGGATATTTTGGTAAAAATGATATTTATTTTTAGAAGTGGATAATTATTTTGAGACAAACCAAAAAGGAAACATGGAATATTAATTTGGGATGGAAGGAGTATTACTCAAGGTATAATCTTTGAGTAAGTATAACACTTAAACTCGACTATGGAACTAAGTATGATTCATTCTTTTGATTTAACCATTTCAACAATTCCTGATACCTCTTCTTAGTGATGTAAATGCACTAAGGTGTCCTTAGAGGATCAACAGTTATATGGTTCCATAATCATTAGGATGATCATAAAACACGATACTAAAGTAGTCTTCTTTCCTTTCAGATTGGAGAAACTTTTATCTTTCTGCCGAATTGATTCTTCTTATTCGTTCTGCTATACTTTGAAAGTTTTCAAGGTATTAGAATTACACTTAATCTTATAAGCATAACCATATTTACCGAATTATCAGTAAACCATGACAAATAGACTTTATCATCCTTTGTGATGGCTCTGACCAGTGCACATCAATATGTACTAGATCATTTATTCCTTCACTTGACTCACACACATATGTGAACAAGGAATCAATCTCAATTTCCCAAGGATTAAGATTTTCATACATCACACAATTCAAATCTTATAAAATCAAGACTTTGTCCAATCGAAACTTGGGTGATGA